GGTGTTGATAAGACCGATGCGAGGTCGAAAATGCAGTCCACCCAGGATGAGAACAACTTTTGGGAAAGCAGGGCAATGTGAAATTCAATTGAAGCTTAAGTGTAAATCATATCATTGTGCGAAATTTCTACTACTAGTCCCTCATCACCTTAAACGAAATAGGGTGAATACATCTCGAAACATATAAATGTCTACCGGTTCAATAGGAAAAGAAATTATGATTTCTCAGAGACAGCGCTACTAATAAAAGCCGAGTTAAGTGATATCGACTAAAGTAAATGATCTGTATTTTTCTTTCATGTATTACAATGTTAAAATATGGCGCATTTACTATAAATTAAAATATATTTGTGCTTTGCATGCCAGCATATTCAATGAACTAATCAAATTCTTAAATATATCTATATAAAATTTATGACCATATTTGTTACAGTTAGGTGATATATTCAAAAATTTAATCCAAATCTTGATGTAATTTTATTTCATTTATTTAAGCATATCTATATAATGACGTTGAGAAATAAACTTTTTTCATGAAATACTCACCGGTATAACCACACGCCTGGATAGTGAATAAGGACAAAAATGCTAAGATTATCATGGTATAACTAAAGTAAATCCGTTGTGCAAGTAATATGAAACAAAATATTATCGTATTCGCAGCACATGTTTCATAGATGACTGAGCTTAATCGCAAGCCAATGTAAAGTGAGATAAGCCAAAAATTAGTATTATAATTTTTTAATAATTTTTATAAAAATATAATAATTTTTTAATGCTATATTTACATTAAACCTTAAAAAAATACTATATATTGATATATATCATTTATTATTAAAAAAATTTTAACCAAGTAAATCCTTGAAATTTTTTTAAATCAAAATAAAAAAAACATAATTTATTTTAGAAAAATAAAGGAAATTATATTTAATAATACTTTTGCAGAATCATTGAAAGGTGTACATAGTAGACCCGCATTCCTTAAATGCTTACTTAATTTATTGACGAATGGCCACTCACGTTTGCATAAATGAAAATTGGATCAAAGATAGATTGAATATTACAGATGAAAACTTAGGTTTATTTATCTTTTTATATAATACTTAGTAGAGGATATAAAGTCCTTAACCCTTCAGGGAAATTATGACGAGAAAATATCACTTTTGGGCTCCTCACTACTACATTTTACTCGCCTAAAAATTCTCGATTTATCTAGAAATGCTCTACAATCTGTCAAGGTTCATTTTTACTTATTATTTTCTTAAGGGTATTGAGCATTTGTCATGTCTCGAAATTCTCAATTTGTACTATAATTGTCTTGGGGGTCTTGAAGACATTTTGCTTTTAAAATCAAACCCTAAACTAAAAGAGTTAGACCTCCGACTTAATCCAGTATCTCGAGTTGATCCAGATTATCGCTACTATTTGATTTATGTTCTGCCACTTCTTTCAGTATTGGGTAATTATACTTATTGCTTTTACCTGTATTACAATTTTAAACTTAGCTATCGTTATTTGTAAATATTATTTTAGATAACAGAAAAATACGTGACGAGGAAAAGAGAGCAGCCTTTGCTCATTTTTCAAGTGATCAGGCAGTCAATTATTCCTCTGGAGTTACTGCTTTCAAAGATAAAATCGCATCTTCAATCTCAGTAACGCAAACAGATTCAAGTGAAAAAATAAATTCAGAGCAACACAGTTTACATCCTCATGACTTTTTAAATGAAAATTTACCACTTGAGGAAATTAGTCGATCTGAGTTAGCTAACGACAGAGGGAGAAGGAGAGTCGAAAAATACCAACATAAAGGTAGGGATAGTTTTCTTTGATAATATTAGCATTAAAAATTGAAACTTATTATTATTTTACTTAATTTATTTGATCATATGGTATTTCGGGGTTTTATATTAGGTTATATCGATTTTTTCTTTATTTGTAAACCGATATCTGACTTTAGAACGCTTGGAAATTGAAAAAGAATTTAGTCGGGACTATGGCGAACAATTTTCGGATTCAAGGGATTCACATGCAAAATCTTTTTTTTCTGACAAAATGCAGGTGAATATCGATAACAATCCTATTTTATTCATATATTCCATACATTTTATTATATTTGGCTTATTTTTTTAGGATAAGTCCAAGAGCAAAATTCAAAGTGAGTTATTAAATGTCTTTATTTTAACATAATTGTTTGCGCACTGATAATTTGCTCAATTTTATCTGTAATACTTCTATAT